ATATATAATATTCCACCACACTTGATTCGAAATTCATGCATTCTAAATAAATTAAATCGATCTAATTAGCATGCAGACTACCTTTTTCTTATGCCACGGAATATTCTACTTTATTGATTTATGTTTTGGAACAATGATATTAATTTATGCAGGATTACACAGCTCTCTCTCTTTTCACACAACATATTTGTTCTAACTTCACAGTAGATACTAGTTTCTATAGCTTTTATGCTGCTTAAAAAGCTTATGAGATTTGAAACTAACAGCATGTCATATGTTTCAGGCAACTCTTAATGATTCGTTCCTGGCAGATCTTGATGAATTGTCTGATAATGAGGCTAATCTTGTGAGTTATTCTATTTTCCTTTTCTTCTATTTTTATATGTTCACAAGCAGGTATGAATCTATTGTGAATGTAGAACTTCTTGGTTAGTTGTGGTTTCATTGTATTTTTGTTGCAGTTCAGACTTCAATCAAGTCTTCTGTTATTTCTTATGGCATTGGGATGATAATGTTTTCCTTCCAGGATGAGAATAATGGGGAAGATGAGGACATGGAAGAAGATGTAAATGGAGACTTAGCAGACATAGAAGCACTTAATTACGATGATCTGGATAGTGTTTCCAAACTACAGAAAACAGAGCGCTACGCTGATATTATGCAGGTTTGTTTAATTTTATGCGCTATAGTTCATTGTCTTGTATTCCATATTCAATACTCAAATTAAGATGAAGAGCCTTGATGGTTGTGATTCCTCTTGGGTGAAGTTATTGTTCTCATTTGTCTTGTGTTGTTTGGCGAGCTATGTTCTTCTATATGTCTGTCATATCTGAGAGTTCTGTATTCTCCCTACCCTCCTCTAACCCTTCTCCTTCGGTTCTGCTAGCCATTTGTAAGTATACATCGATGGGTAATTTCATCTTTTGTTGCAGAAAGTCGAAGGTGCACTTGAAAAGGATTCCGAAACCTCAGATAAAGGAATTGTTTTGGAAGATGATCCAGAGTATCAGCTGATAGTTGAATGTAATGCCTTGTCAGTCGATATTGAAAATGAACTCGTGATCATACACAATTTTATCCGTGATAAGTATCGCCTGAAATTTCCGGAGCTTGAATCTCTTGTTCATCACCCGATTGATTATGCTCGGGTAGTTAAAAAGATTGGGAATGAGATGGATCTGACCCTTGTTGATCTGGAAGGACTCCTACCATCTGCTATTATTATGGTCATTTCTGTAACCGCGTCAACTACCAGTGGCAAACCACTCCCAGAGGATGTCCTACAAAAGACACTCGATGCATGCGATCGGGCTCTTGCTCTAGATTCAGCAAAGAAAAAGGTCCTTGATTTTGTGGAGAGTCGAATGGGATATATTGCTCCAAATCTTTCTGCTATAGTTGGAAGTGCTGTTGCCGCTAAACTTATGGGTACTGCTGGTGGTCTTGTTGCATTAGCAAAGATGCCTGCTTGTAATGTTCAGCTCCTTGGTGCCAAAAAGAAAAACTTAGCAGGGTTTTCAACAGCAACATCTCAATTTCGCGTGGGTTATCTAGAGCAAACAGAAATATTTCAGAGCACCCCTCCTTCCTTGAGGATGCGTGCATGTCGACTTTTGGCAGCAAAATCTACACTTGCAGCACGTGTAGACTCTACGAGAGGAGATCCAACAGGAAAAAATGGAAGATCTTTCCGAGATGAGATTCTTAAGAAGATTGAGAAGTGGCAAGAGCCCCCTCCTGCCAAGCAGCCTAAACCTCTTCCAGTTCCTGACTCTGAGCCCAAGAAAAAGAGAGGCGGTCGACGACTGAGGAAGATGAAAGAAAGGTGGGAGAGTTTTCCTTACAACTTATTCAGAAGATGAACAAGATATGCTATCCATTTTCTATTCTGAAATTATGCTTTTAAAAATCAAATAAGTTAATGTACTCTTCATTTTTCATCAGATATGCTATTACAGATATGCGGAAGTTGGCGAATAGGATGCAGTTTGGAGTTCCAGAGGAGAGTTCTTTAGGTATTCATATCAAATCTAAGAAATCTACTACAAATCATTATTCAGTTATAATTTTATTGTACTCACGAGTTACATTCTTTTTATGTTCTCATTTTCCATATATTCTGAACTGAGGAATGAGAATATACATCAACAAGTGAAAGTGGCACCTATTGAGAATAATAAGGGAACGACAAGTTAGGTGGTTGGTGCATGCATTGTGTAGATCTGAAGAGGTTCCTCTTCATACAAGTGATGTGATATATTATAAGAGGGATAGGGGTAGCCAATAACTAACATTGCTTCTTGTGGTTGCTAAGTATCTAGTTGTATTGGATCTTCAAGTAGATGTAGCGATTAACCAAAGGACTGTTGTTAGCCAGTCCCAAGTTTTAATGGGAACAAGACTTATTTTATTATTTTTATTGTTTTTTTAAATGTACATTTCTTAACTAAGTATTACATTCTACTGGCATGCAAGTGAAGCCCGTGCTGTATATCCTCTATTTGTTTTATATCCTTTACTGTTTTTGTCTTCTATTCACAGTGAACTATTCTGTTAAGTTTCCAGAATAAAATGTCTTCTTGTTTTCTACTTTTTTTTTTTTTAAAACTGAAGTTTATTACTTTTCATGCTTTGATTTGGGCTGTGCACCAGAGAGTCCATGTACTGCTTTTTCACCCTTTCTGACATTTTCTTGAAGGCGATGGGCTGGGGGAAGGATATGGAATGCTTGGTCAGGCTGGAAATGGCAAGTTACGCGTATCAGTTGGTCAGAGCAGACTTGCTGCCAAAGTAGCCAAGAAGTATGCTATTCTTGAGCTCTTCTTCGTTCTCTAGAGTTTTGTTCTGCTATGATAATTTCTACAGATTTTAACATTTTATTCACTGTAATTAGAAATTGTGTGATAATATTCCTATTTTCTTTTCTTCAATGTTTTCGTTGTTCCATTGTTGCCAATACGAGCTTATGGTTTTCAATCCTTTTCAGGTTCAAGGAGAAGAATTATGGAAGCGGTGGGGCTACTTCGGGCCTGACTTCAAGTTTGGCCTTCACTCCTGTGCAGGTATGATGCCCTTAAACAAATCAAGTCCTTGGTTAGTTTTGTACTTTCATTAACTGAGCCTTGAAAAGGTTAGATGATGACTGAAAAGGCTAAATTGCAGAATCCTCTCCTATCTTCATCCTCATTTTGCACTCTGTCCCAAACCTCCGTTTCTTGGCGTTCTTGTTCCCTACCTTCCCTTTTTAGGCGCCCATGTTCCTTAGTGACAGTTTTCTGTTTAATTCGATGTCAATGTAAAAGGCAGATTTTCCCTCAAGCCTAAATGAACAAGGAAAAAATAAAAATGAAAAACATCATCATCCTCGCTCCTTGCATAATTAGTCCCCTTTAGATTACTCCTGCAATTACCCATATTTTATTTGTTTGTACAAACTTTTGATTTGTTTTTGCTATTTTTCCCCTCCCACAGGGCATTGAGCTTTCAAATCCTCAGGCACTTGCAAACCAGTTGGGTAGTGGAACTCAAAGTACCTATTTCTCAGAAACTGGTACATTTTCAAAGATCAAGAGAACTTGAAACTCTTAGAGAAGTGTGCACTTTCCAAGTTCATATTATATTTTGGGTAACTAGAGTTGAAATCTTGATCTTCTAAGAGTCTTTATTAATTAGTGAGAAACTTATGTTGTTTTCTTTGGATAATACAACTTCTATGTATTGAGTTTTATATTTAAATTGAGCACTCAACTGGATATCAATTGTGGGCAGTTGAGGTTTATATCCGTCAGAGTTTATAGCCAAGAATTTCCCTTTCGTCGGCTCACCCTAGGGTCGGGGTCGAGATGAAGCTACTGTTTGTTTACCATTCTTTTTCTAAAACTCATTTTCAACCGTACATTTTCACAATAAAATATTTTACACAAAGCTCGTCTCTACATTTAATCACACATTCTCAAAACAAATTGTTATTCCATAACTCATTCTTCCTAAAAAATTCGTTTGTTAAGCATCAATCAGGTGCTCGAAATCATTATTTTAATAAACCGGGGGAATTATTTCTATTGTTTTGAATTTGAGTTATTTTATACTTTTTTAGCTGACAAAATGCAAGAAAAAGCATTCGCGCGATCTATGGAAAAAAGTACCTTTTGAAAATTAAAATAAAAAAATAAATCAGTCAAGTAAAAAAGTATGAGTTGTGCTAGTGGTCCATCACACCCTACATAAGGGTGTCCATAATGGACACCTGGCGCCTCTCCATTGGATGAAGTGTCTGTGGGGTCGGCACTTCATCCAATGGAGAATCGCCGAGTGTCCATTATGGACACCCTTATGTAGGGTGTGATGTACCACTAGCATTGTTCAAAAATTATTATTATCTACTGCAATGGAGTATCATCACTTAGAAACACTTTTGCTTTAACTTTTTGAGCAAGGGCATCCTCATTCGCTAGGTATACAAAAATTAGTTGTGAATTTTATAAAATATGTGGTTAAAATTAATTGTTGACTTTGACTTAAATTAAAATGTGAATTTTAATTTATAACAAACAGGGCTTAATAACCAACTTGTTGACAAACCGGACTGGGCCATTGAAAGGGTCTGAGCCTGCGGCCCAACACTAAACATAACGTACAAACCTGAAAGAGCAAAATTCACTACAACAGCGTACGAGTCCTCAAAGCGTCTGTCTCTGCTCCGTTATCTTCACCTTTACAAATTCAAAAAAGTATCAATACTAAACCTGAAAAAGATTTTAAAAAAAAATTGCAAGAACAAGATAGAGTAAATACCGCGCAAAAGGAAACTTTAACCGAGTGTTAAGCTCAGGTAAGTGAGCTTTCTAAGAGCACTCCACGTGCTTGTGAAAATGTCTCATAGAGATATATTACGTTACATTGATGTTTATGTCTGAAAATTTCAGGTTCCCAGTTCTTGTTTTGCGTGCAGTGTGTTGGTTTTAGGGTTTACGAGAGGCAATAATAGTCGTAGCCCAAAAATGAGTTGGTCTTCCTGTGGTAGTAGTAGTGTTTACAGCTTGAGCTCAAGTATTCTTGTGGCCAACGACCCATCCTCGAAGCTTTCGAAGAGACGCTTCACACCCAATATTTCTCAACCGGTAAGTATGGGTTTTAAATAGAGTGCAGTGGTAATCAGGTTGTGTTATTCTTTGGGTTATGGCCTAAGATTTTTCGGGGTGAAAAATATTGGCTTTATACAAAACATTTCACAAGAGATAGTTCTTTAATTGTTAGCAATTAATGCAGGGATGGAAGCAAAGAAGAGATTCTTCGCATAATAATGGTGGAGTGTCAAAAGTTTTTGGTTACTATGGCCTGAAAAGTCCGCCGTATAAACTTGTGAGTTTTGCATATTCTCAACTTGTTTATTCGAATGTGTATGCCGCAAGAACTGTGAATTTTGTTGAAGTAATAAATAATGGAGTTATTAAGACTTTATTTCCATCTTAAAAGATTGACTTTAGGAGTAACCCAATACTTAGTCAGTATTTTTATCTTTGATGTGGGACTTTTTATCTTTTAACATGTCTGGTAATGGAGACTCGTTTGACCAAATTAATCTTGAAATTTGAATCTTAGTCGGATGGAATTGCTCGTTTGAGCTTAAATAACCTCTAATACCATATTAAGATTTGGGGCTCCGTGTTAAAAGGTCAAACCTTGTTGGGAAGAATAGCCTAAACCTTGTAAGTTCGTCTATGTTTTCATCTTTATTCGATGTGAAATTTGAACATATTGTTAGATTTTCATCTTAGGATAACTATAGTGGTCTATTACCTCTAAGCTGGAGTCCGAAATGACTGAATTTAATATGATTTTGTTGCTGTGTCTTCCAAATGTCAACTATATGATGCCTCCTTCATTGTTTTTCTTGTTATTGTTATTATTATTTTTTTGTTTCCTTTCATGATAATATTTTTCACTATCTGCATAATCTGTTTTTCCATCTGTATGTATTTTGCTTAACACTAAGTATCATATTTTAAATTTGGAATTGGTCTTAATATATGTTATGCAGAGGAAAATAAAAATTATACCAAATGTATCGAGTTGTACACTGATATTCTTTCCTGCCAGTTAAGTTCCTGATTTCTTGACTTACATTGCTTAAAAAAGAAGAAGAAAAGAGGTTAAAGTTTTAAAGCTGCCCCTCATTCTGCAATGTGCTGCGCTGGCATTATTTCTTGAGATGTAAATGTGCTTATGGATTATAAGCTGGAGAAAAGAACACAGAAAGTGACTATTTCATACTTCTTGAATTGCTCTGCACTATTTTTTACTATGTTCAGCTTCCTAGAAAGCAACTAGAATTTGATAAATTTTTACTCATTGCGAACGAAATAAGCAAAGTGCTCTTATTGAGGCAACTCTTTTTTCTTAGTACGAACTGATGGTGTGGAAAACTTTACCTTTTCTTGTCAAAGTCATGTGATGCTTTTTATCATATCACTTTCTTTTGACTATTCTCTTGATAGCTGATTTTTCCTTCTGCATTTTAGGATGCATTAGAACCATATATGAGTCAGAGGACACTTGAGGTGCACTGGGGTGTGCATCATCGTGGTTATGTGGAAGCTCTGAACAAACAGCTGGAGAAAAATGACATATTTTATGGTTGTACCATGGATGAACTAATCAAAGTTTTATATAACAATGGCAACCCATTTCCTGAATTCAATGATGCTGCCCAGGTATGTCCCAGTAGACGGCTTGTATTCTCTGTAGTATATTCGAGCTTTTATCTGTCATTGACAGTATTAAATTGCACCACAATTGCTAGTTTATTTGGCAAGTTTAAATGGTAAAATGCTTAATCAAGTCTGCATATCAGTCATTATGGATAGGGCATATAGGTCGGAATTTGTTAATTGAGGCTCGTTATTGCGTGTGCCTTCTCTATTATTGTTTTTCTATCTCCTCCATCCTCCCATTTTTGGTACATGTTATGCTATGCTCAAATTGCCATGCAACTCTTGATATCAATAAATATGTTTTCATTAGTCATGTTATTACGTTAATCTTTTAATTTGCTAGCGTAAATTTATTAATTATCTTATAGTATGTTCAGCGAATTCGATATAGTACTATCAAATTTACTGCCATCTTGTTGACATAGGATGCTATGGAATAGTTATAGGAGAAGGGGAAAGGGAAGAGAAGAAGAGAAAGGAGGGCAAATAGAGAAGAAGAAGAGAGGGTGGAGGAGAGAAATTGGGGGAGAATATCAATTTATTTCATTATTGAAGTTGTTTCAATTACATCGCATAAGTCCCTTTTATGTGGGGTTTAAACTAGTTCTAATTGTAGTAGGAAAATACTATAAAATCAATCCTTCATTATGTTTACTAAATTAAACACCAAAATTGGAAACTAAATATAATAATGTCTCTTCTAATATTCCGTCACTTATTCCCACAGGTTTGGAACCATGATTTCTTTTGGGAATCCATGCAACCAGGAGGTGGCGACATGCCAACATTGGGCTTACTTCAGCAGATCGAAAAGGATTTTGGTTCATTTGCCAATTTCAAGGAGAAGTTTACAGAGGCAGCTCTCACATTGTTCGGTTCGGGCTGGGTTTGGTTGGTCTGTAAGTTCTCGTTCTTATAAGGTTTACTTGCTGGCGTGTATTACCATGCAGCTAAATTGCGTTAGCTTGTATTTAGTGCAATTTATCATGCTATGTTAAGCTAATGTCAAGTTTCTGCTAGACCATCTCTGAAATTTACTCATTTGAATTTTTTGCAGTGAAGAGGGAGGCAAAATCTCTGGCAATTGTCAAAACATCAAATTCCATCAACCCTTTAGTGTGGAATGACATTGTAAGAATTTTTTTCTATTTGTGTTTCTCTATCCTTTATAAGCAATTGTATCATTGATCTTGTGGCTTTGACATTGTTTTTATATCTCTTAATAATGCAGCCAATCACGAGTTTGGATATGTGGGAGGTAAGTGTAAAAAAACCCCGACGCGCTCCCCAAGCATGTTCAGCTAAGCTTAATAAGCCTACTTATTTGTGAAATATGTTTTAAAATAGATAACATTTTTACTCGTCAAAGCTACATTTCATAGTAAGGTCTTTCTTTACTTAAACGTAGTAAAAAAAAGTGACTTCTACTTTTATAGGCTTAGTCAAATACATTGGATATTGATCTCAGCCTTTTCATCTCTTCATTGCACTTTTTGATTTTTTTACGTTGGTTTTGCAGCATGCTTATTATTTGGACTACAGGGTATGTGTCCATTTTAACGCGTTTTTTCTTTCCCTCATTTTTCTCTGGTCGCCTGTTCTAATTGACTGTTTCTTTGGATGCTAACCTATGAACAGAATGACAAGGCCAAGTATGTTAATACGTTTATGAATCACCTGGTATCCTGGAATGCAGCTGCTGTTCGTATTGTTCGTGCACAAGCCTTCGTGAATTTAGGCGAACCTAAGATCCCGGTTGCATGAATTTTTGTATCTCCTTTTACTGTCCCAGATACCTGACCCCAGTGTGTATAATTTAGATAACAAGAAACTGTTATCTTCCTTGCCTGCTATTGAGCTTGAAAGAGCAGATTTTTGTTTTTTTAGAGAAAAGGAAAATTAGAGGGAACACCTCACTAATGCCCTTACAAAGTTTGTTAATCATATTTATATTTGAAGCTTTTTTATCATCAAAATACTTCTTTTAAAAAAAAAAAAAAATTTATAAATTTAGTCCATGTTTGTCTCTCTTTAAAACGTAAGTCTTTAATTCTTATATTCATTTTTAATTACACATTCACACAACAAAATATTTTGTACGTAAATTCAATTTTTTTTTTTTCTACTTTTTAACCACATTAAAAAAAAAACAATTAGTCTATAGCTATAGGAAATGTTCGCAGAACTGTTACGAGAATTTAAATACGGCGACGTGGTAGAGGAATGGGATCCATGCTTTAATATGAGGGCCCTAAGCAAAATTGGCTACAAAATGAAGTGAAATGGTTCATTTTCCCCCAAATCACAGTCTCGGTCCCCTGCCACTTTCTTCATCTTTGGCCAAAGTCGCTTTTCCATCACCGGCCAACATCCGGCAAACCAATTGGCGCTCACTATCGGCCATATTGTGAAGACAAAAGCCCACTGTAACTCGATATCAAAATCGTATTTGAAGACGGTGGCTCGAAACCTAGATGATGGACAAATGTATTTTGCTTCTTGGTTCTAAATAGGTTAGCTCATAAATTGGTTTCTCCAGTTAACAGTTGAATTTCTAGCTAATTTAGAAGCTAAATGATGGTGAAAAAACTATCCTAATTTTACTGAATTTAAGAGCAAGAGGACACGAAAAGAATCTTAACCTCGTATGTGTCAGTGCCACCAGAAGTGGTAGGTTGTCGCAGTGTCAAGGAAGAAACGTGCCCATTAGCCGACGAGATGCATAAAGCCCTCGGCCTTTGTTGTGCGAATGCCAATATTTTAGCTGCAACATCCTACAGGAGAAATTCATAAAGACAACCACTTATTTTGTCATAGTAATGCAAACAATTTATTATTGAATTTTTATAATATTGAACAAAAAGGGAATTGTATTCTCATTGGAAAAATTCATAAATACCCTGTTTTTTTCCATGTCAAGCATGTTAATTAATGTTAGTGGCCGTGTTTTGCTCTTAGTTACATATATAATTTGCAACTTCTAACAAAATTAGAATTTTTATTGCAGGATAAGAAATTATGGAAGATGAAAATCATGACTTGTTGCTAGAATGTGATAACGAGAACATAATGGCCAATTTGAACACATTGGATAACGAAAATTTAGGAGGAGATGTTGCGACTTGGCCTAAGGTGGGTATGATGTTTAATGGCGAGAAAGAAATTTTTGTCCATTACCGATTTAATTGATTGGGAATTTGAGTTCGACTTCTGATTTGAGTCGATGAACATGCAGTCCACATCAGCATCAAGCAAAGGAAAGAGGCCTGGGGCTACGCCTAGTACTATGAAAGAGGCTGTAACCGACATCCAGGTATCTGGACTATTGCAATGTTCTATACCGACACCATTCTCATATTTACAACACCTATTGGTTAGTATATTATGTTAATTCATTTAATTGGTTTGACGTCTTAAAGATGGTGTTATTTCATGTAGGGTGACAATGCCAATGAAGCCGTCACGGTCTCACAGAACACTTGCTATATTAAACTTTCATCTACTCGTAGCCTACGAATGGAATTGTGAACGCTCAACTTAAATACAAAGATAATTCATTATACTTATGTATAGTCATTTAATTTAAGCATATACTAATTTTCATCTTATACACTAGGTCAAGTCATGCCATACTACTATCAACATTTCCGTGATCAAGGTGGTAGTTTGGAAGGTATATTTGTACACATTTATTGCATTGTATTTTACTTCATCAAATTTACGTCATTCATATCGAGGATAAATTTCGGTAAATCTCATGATGTTCTTGAACATGTAACAAGATGTTGCTTGGCGTCAACAA